TTTTAAAGCTCCAAAATGATCTCCTTTGATTCCAGGTCGCACATCCAGGTCATGTGGATACAAAAGGTGGGTTCCCATGGTCTTGGGCAGCTCTGCCCCTGTGGCTTTGCAGGGTACAGCCTCCGTCCTGGCTGCTTTCACAGGCTGGCATTAAGTGTCTGTGGCTTTTCCAGGTTCTTGGTACAAGCTGTCAGTGGAGCTACCATTCTGGGATTTGGAGGATAGTGGCCCTCTTCTCACAGCTCCACTAGGCAGTGCCCCAGTAGCGACTCTGTGTCAGGGCTCCAGCCCACATTTCCCTTCCACACTGCCTTAGCAGGGGTTCTCCATGAGGTCTCCACCTCTGCAGCAAACTTGCCTGAGCATCCAGGTGTTTCCATACATCTTCTGAAATCTAGGTGGAGGTTCCCAAACCTCAATTCTTGCCTTCTGTGCCCCTGCAGGCTCAACACCACGTGGAAGCTGCCAGCTTGGGGCTTGCACCTTCTGAAGCCACAGCTCGAGCTCTATGTTGACCCCTTTCAGCCATGGCTAGATTGGCTGAGACACAGGGCATCAAGTCCCTAAGCTACAGACAGCACTGGGACCCTGGGCCTGGCCCATAAAACCACTTTTTCCTCCTGGGCCTTTGGGTCTGTGATGGGAGGTGCTGCTGTGAAGGTCTCTGACATACCCTGGAGACATTTTCGCCATGGTCTTGTGGATTAACATTGGGCTCCTTGCTACTTACGCAAATTTCTGCAGCTGGCTTGAATTTCTCCTCAAAAAATGGGTTTTTCTTTTCTACTGCATCATCAGGCTGCAAATTTCTGAACTTTTATGCTCTGTTTCCCTTTTAAAATGGAATGATTTTAACAGCATCCAAGTCAGCTTTTGAATGCTTTGCTGCTTAGAAATTTCTTCCACCAGATACCTGAAATCATCTCTCTCAAGTTCAAAGTTCCACAAATCTCTAGGGCAGGGGCAAAATGCTGCCAGTCTCTTTGCTAAAACATAACAAGAGTCACCTTTGCTCCAGTTCCCAACAAGTTCCTCATCTCCATCTGAGACCACCTCAGCCTGGACCTTATTGTTCATGTCACTATCAGCACTTCTGTCAAAGCCATTCAACAAGTCTCTAGGAAGTTCAAACTTTCTCACATTTTCCTGTGTCTTCTGGGCCCACCAAACTGTTCCAGCCTCTGCCTGTTTCCCATTTCCGAAGTCACTTCCACATTTTTGGGTATCTTTTCAGCAATACTCAACTCTACTAGTACCAATATACTGTATTAGTCTGCTTTCATGCTGCTGATAAAGACATACTCGAGACTGGGAAGAAAAAGAGGTTTAATTGGACTTACAGTTCCACATGACTGGAGAGACCTCAGAATCATGGCAGGAGGTAAAAAGCACTTCTTACATGGTGGCAGCAAGAGAAAATGAGGAAGAAGCAAAAGTGGAAACCCCTGATAAAACCATCAGATCTCGTGAGACTTACTCACTATCATGAGATTAGCATGGGAAAGACCCCACCCCACAATTCAATTACCTCCCCCTGGGTCCCTCCCACAGCACATAGGAATTCTGGGGGATACGATTCAAGTTGAGATTTTGGTGGGGACACAGCCAAACCATATCAATAAATAACATAAAAGGTGCCATGAAAATCACAGATTAGGCTAGATAAAAATGTATTTTTAAATTGTCATGTATGTTTAATTAGAAATTTAAAAGACTGAGACAAATACGAATTCCCACTTTGGTTATGTAAAACAAGCTAAGCTGCTATGAACTTTTTGAAGACAATGCGGCTGGGCGAGGTGGCTCAAGCCTGTAATCCCAGCACTTTGGGAGGCCGAGACGGGCGGATCACGAGGTCAGGAGTTGAGACCATCCTGGCTAACACGGTGAAACCCCGTCTCTACTAAAAAATACAAAAAAAACTAGCCGGGCGAGGTGGCGGGTGCCTGTAGTCCCAGCTACTCGGGAGGCTGAGGCAGGAGAATGGCGTAAACCGGGGAGGTGGAACTTGCAGTGAGCTGAGATCTGGCCACTGCACTCCAGCCTGGGCAACAGAGCGAGACTCCATCTCAAAAAAAAAAAAAAAAAAAAAAGAATGAAGACAATGCTTTAGGACAAAAATCTGATATGTAAAATAAACTAAAATTTAGAAAAAAGTTTTTAAATGTAAATTGAACATTATTTTAAAAACGAGGTAGTATGAGAGGTAAATGAACTAGAGAATAAAGATTTGGCTAAACCCTTGAAGACAGTGGCAAAGATACATAGAAAAATATAACTATATTTTGTTTTGCCCTGTCTTCTAACTCTACCACAAAACATCCATGAAGTACTTAAGCTACTGGGAGAAACACGCCTAAGAAATATTTTAAGTGGGTTTTGCCTCCAGATAAACACTGTCTATACCTACAAACTTGTAACTTCATTGGACTGTTTTCAAATATTCTTACCAAACACCATTATTGCACATTACATGTAACATTATGATTAAAGCCATTGTGAGAATTCCTGTTTTACAAAGGAGAAAGTTTGAAAAAAAGTGTCTACTTTTTGAAGTTAGGTTTATACAGCTATATTCCAGTAGACATGGCAAAAACAGGTCAAACTCACATGGAGATTTTTTTGCTTTGCCATTGCAGAGCACATAAAATAGATCTGCACATTTTGGTAGTCTTTAGAATTCCTGGAGTCTTACCTTCTCTACCTTTTCAAGCTCTCTTTTCTTTTCCTTCTCCCTCACCCCCTTTTTTCTTTTTCTTATTTTCTTCAGTTCTGTTCTTTACTGTTGTGAATTTCATTCTAGTCTTAAAAACAACAACAACAACAAAAAAAAACAAAAAACAACTATTATGGCCAGGCATGGTGGCTCATGCCTGTAATCCCAGCACTGTGGGAGGCAGACAAGGGAGGATCACGAGGTCAGGAGTTCAAGATCAGCCTGACCAACATGGTGAAACCCCATCTCTACTAAAAAAAATACAAAAATTAGCCGGGCGTGGTGGCACACGCCTGTAATCCCAGATACTCAGGAGGCCGAGGCAGGAGAATCGCTTGAACTGGGGAGATGGAGGTTGCAGTGAGCCGAGCTTGCACCACTGCACTCCAGCTAGGGTGGTAGAATGAGACTCCATTTCAAAAAAAAAAAAAAAATGGGACATTTGTCTCCAGGGCTGGGAATAGGACTGAAAATTCTGTATTTTGTGTCAGTCAAAGCAGGCTCACACTGAGTGTCTTTCATCTTTGGTGTTTACTAGAGCACCTAACGTATTAGTCAGAGAAGAAAGACTTTCTTCTATTTTGTAATCCTGTGACACCATTTTAAGTACAGTAGCTGGTAGCAACTCCTTGATGACCCTTCAGAATTAGGAGAATTAGGCAAAGTTGATGGCTGCTACCCATCAGAGCAGGAGTCCAGTTTATAACCGTGAATTGATCCTGTGCCTCTCTCCTGATGAGGATTTGTGTTTCTGCCAGAAGCTTTGCTCCAGGTACTGATGAAACCAAAGTTTTGGAAATAGAAAGTGCTTCCTGAGAGATGACTGGCTTTGCAACTACTATTCAAAGAGTAAGTAGAGTGTGTTTTAGAAGATGAGTATTTCCCACAAATGACAGAACGTTGGACCTAAAAGGTTCTCTGGCAGTTTGGGAGGTGACAGTTGATAGTTGTGAAAGTTGTTGTCTCTTTGGGATTCATGAAAGAAGCCGCTTTTTAGAATGCCTTTGAAGGAACCAAGAAGTCACTGGCACTCGACTATAAAATGCTAACCAGTTTCTGGTTCCAACAGCACACAGCCAGCATCAGGTTTTTTCTTTTTTGATAAATGTGGGCGGGGTGTGATGTGGGAGAACTTTTTGTGTTTTCCTATGAGAAAAAGATAGTAGAAAATAAAGTAAACACTTTGAAATGGCAAATCTCTTTCTTCCTCCCTCCCCTCTGAATCCAGCAATAAAAAGACTGTGAACTTTTTTAAAATTTTATTTTTTTTCACTGTCAGTATTCAATGTAACTGTGAACTTTTTAAAGTGGATGTTTTATTCTTTGAGAATCCCCTTACTATTTAGATACCTCTAAGTGAGATATAGTTTAATTTTTCCAAGGGCTAAGTCAGTAATATGCCGGACAGTGGAAAACATGCAGGTAAGACAAAGAAATGAGAGCTGGGCCTAGTCCAAGCCCATAAAGATGGCAGTAAAGTCAAAATTCCCCTACAACTTCAGGCTAGGAACTACTAAATGCAATGAGATGGAAACGCTACTATTCCTAAATATTTAGTATTTATTTTATTTAGTCATTGTCCATCTTATCACTTACCCTCAAAATATTCTTTTGAGCAGCAAGTTAAAGCTGCTTTTGGCTCGCAGTTGATTGACTACCATTACTCAAGCCATTTGGGCTGTTGGAACTCACCTTTAATTAAACAAGATTCCTATGAAAAACTTGAGAATGAAATCTGGTTGTAAGTATTCCTGTACTTTTGGATTAGTCTAAGGCTGAAATTTCGCACTCACTCTGGAAAGAACATCAGAACCATTTTGACCATGTTATGCTGCACAATAAGGCGTAGGTCAAACGGTAACTTTTTTTTTTTGGTCCCAGGTGTGTTTTATTATAGGGTTTTCTGACAATCTTACTGGAAAGAAGTTTTCATTCTGCTTGGGAATCTGGGGATGTCTCCAGCTATTTCTAAACTTCTACAGTGCTTCCCACACGAACTAAAGATAACAGGCCAGTAGGTTTCATTGGAACTGTGTTAAATCGACATCTGAAATGTCCATTGCTTATAACTTGATCTTATTTAATTTCCAAAAAAATCATCGGTTACTAGGTGTGGCTAAGTACACACCTTTGGGAAACGTATCTGTTTTCGCAGTTATTAAAACCGAGGTGGGGGGCAGGGGACGCACGCGGGAACGCACCAGGCACCCCAGCTTCTGCACTACAACTCCCAGAAGGCGCAGCGGCCAGGAAGCCGCTTCTGGACGGGCGTTCCCGCCCCTCGCCGCGGTTTAGTAGTTGGGGCGCAGCCGCGGTGGCTGGGCGCGGAGTGCGAGTGGCCTGGACCCCGCGGGTGACTGCTGCAGGGCTTCTCCCCAGCTGGACTGGGCGCTGCTCGAAAGCGCTCTCTCCACTCGCACGGCTTGTTGGGCTCATCATGAAGCGCTTGGGCTCCGTGCAGCGGAAAATGCCGTGTGTGTTTGTGACGGAGGTGAAAGAGGAGCCTTCCGCCAAAAGGGAGCATCAGGTACGGAGGAGCGCCGGGCAGGCTGGGCGGCTCGCGTGGGCTCCTCCCCGCGGCGCTGGCTCTGTGCGAACCCGGCGAGGATGGCTGGGCGCGTTAGACCTGTCCTGCAGGCCAGGAGCCTCTGTAGGTTTCGCTGGGTAGGTTTGGGGTGGGAGTTCCGTACGCCCTGAGCTCTTCCAGGTTCTTGTACTTTTCTTAGTCGTAAAGGAGGGAATTTGCGAAAGGATTTTCCTGATTAGGAGATTCAAACTTGCCCTCGCAAGGAAATGGATAACCCACGTCCACAGCATGTACCTTTCTTTTCAGGTTAGCATCTTTTGGGGAAACCCCCTAATTAGATAATTGCCACACTCCAAGCTTTACTACTTTTAAAGAGTGCAGTAAGAAAGGGTGGATATTAGAAGACTTGCTTTACCTGTTCTGTCCGAACCAGTGGCGGTGTTGACAGTAGCCTAATTAGGTCACTGAAGTTCAGACCTCATATTACCAGTAATTACTTAATTTATTCTAACTTTGGTGTTCTCATCTCAAGGTTTTCTATTGTAGCAGCGTGTTTTCCACATAGTGTGCCCTCGGTAAATGCTAGTGAGTAACCTATATTTGGGTAATTTTTTTCATATTGTACTATAAAACGTTGTAGTCTTTGATCAGTAGAATACCCAGTGATTAGTTCGGTGCTTCCCAGCTTTGCTGATTTCAAACAAAACCAACATGTCCATTGGAAATCCACCTCACTTGAGTTTCATAATTGGCACTGGCTTTTCTTCTGGACTAAAACTTGTTTAAGGCAAAGATTGCCCTGTTTTCTTTAGTCCCAGCTTCTAGGACCTGGCACGTGGTACACACTGGATAAATATTTATTGAATTAAAGAATGAACCCTGGAATCATTTCATGCCAGTTTTCCATTCACCTTGATGCTTTTTACCTTATAGCCTCTGTTCTTTTCATTCTATTACTGTCACTGCTGTTATAGTTAGTATTTCATGTCCTGCTCATTGCACCACCTAATTGGTCTTACTTGCCACTCGGAGTGATCATCACCATGTTCTTTCCTCGTCAAAATGCCACAGTTATTACTCAATGTTTGTAGCAGTAATTGACTTTTTTTTTTCTTTTAGCTGTAACAAATGTAATCCGTATGAAACATTATCATCTGTTTTAGTATTTCACTGTACTGTGATTTTCAACTTTGTATGCTGGAGGGGAGTAGTTTGTAAAAGTATTCTCCACCAGGGAAAATAAGCAGCCCCTTCTCTTACCTCTCTGCAGTTAAGAACAGTTTACAGCATCGTTTATAGCATAGCATCCACATTCTTAATTATAATTCAGGGCCTCCCACTAATGAGGCTCAATCTACCTTCCATCCTCCTCAAAGTGGATTCTCTGTTTTAGCCATCTATTTCATCCTGTGAACATATCAACCACAATCCTGCCTCTTATTTTTGCTCACACTGTTCACTCTGGGTCATCTCTAGAATGTTTTTAATTTCTCAAGTCAGTTCTTCTCCATGAAATCTTAAATCAACTTAGTCATCTCAGTGATTTCCCCTACCCAGAAATTGTAGAGGGCCACTCAATTGATACTATTTTAATACATGTACCTTGTTTTTCCAGTAATAGTCTAAAGTCTTTGATGACAGGTGGAAAAGGAGAACTTTATGTACCCCTCAGTGTCTCTCGTGTTGTCCTTTGGACAGGTCGATAGCAAAGAGCAGATGATTGGTCTTTATGGAAGGAATGTTTATACTCATCAGGAGCTCCATGGGGCAGAGTAATCTTCCCCCCATAGGATCTTTGATAAATTTAGATACACACACACTGCTATTGGACCAGACTCTGTGGCTCTACTATCCTAGGTTAAATTGATATCGTTTGATACCAGCGTCGTAACTTAGTGAAAACCAGTTGTATTTTTAAAGTACTGAATCCCTACTAGACGGTTATATTTTGAAAGTATTGAATCAATACTAGAAGGGCCTAATTTCTTAGTTTACCTGTTTGAAATAGTGCATTAGTCTTAAGCTCACACACAGCAATATGTTTATATTGTACAGTGTTGTTTCACTTTCTAAGATGATGTTACTTCAGATACAGATTGTAGAAGTGGCATAAGTCTTTTTCAGAAATGAAAATGAATTATAAAAAGTTCGTAGGAACCCAAGAAACTGTCTTTTCCTCATCCTTGGTGCCCTTTTTCTTCCTGATAGTAGAAAAAACATCAATATGTAGACATCTCACTACTGATAAAGCTGAAAGGGACAAGGAGTGAGTACTCTCAAAGCAAACAAACTCAAAGGAAAAACAAAAGGCAAGCGATTCTTGGTAGTTTTAACAGTGAAAATTGTTAGGGGAAAAACATGAAAAAAACAAAATCAGCTTGAAATCTTAAGTACTCATTGTGCAAGACATAGAACTAAAATGGTACTGAAGTATACTGTATAACATCTCTAAGATGTCATAGTGGGCCAGCTTGTGCTCTCAGCGGGGCTCTATTTACAGGAGTACTAATATGAGGTCTCGCCTGAGAGGTGATGGCAGCAGGTTTTATTCCTTTTTTGTATTCTGCCTGCATAGTCTAGGACAAGGCCGTTCACAAACTAGATGCTCAAACTTTGTTGAATGAGTTACCACAAAGATTTTTAGATTGACATAGACTCCTGAATACAACTTTCAAAGTAAACAATTCATCAAGCTACATAGGGATGTCAGGTAACTGTGACGAAAACTATTGTCAAAGTGAAGCCTAACTCAAGAGTCAAGAGATTTGTTTTATAGAGGCAATTTTTCTTTTGCCATGTTGAACATTTTTTAAGTAAGTAAATAAACCATAGCTGATACAGCTCAGAAATTTAAGTTCGTAGTACTGTCATGTCTAATAATATAAATCACTATTAATGGTAGGAAACCATCAGGGGGTTAACTTTCCTTTCAAGCAGATAATATATTTTCTAAGAGGATTTGTTGAACTTTATGATGATACATCTGAAGATTTTTAGGATATAAAACTGAATCAAGGGTAAAATTGTTCTGAAAATTAAGATGCTTTTAAAGTCTGTGATCTGTAATGTTTAGACCGAGATGCAAGCTCTGTGACAACGAAGGTATACAAATGACAATTGCTTTATGGAAAGGATGAAAATCATAGTTTTTCAACCTGTGCTTACAATAGCAGTTGTTTATCACGCAGTTAAGGAGGAAAAACATGAAAAAAGTAAATCCAGAAACCATTTGATTTTGGCTCTTAAACTTCTTGGTAGCAAATAGAAACTGATATTAATTATATTGAGAAGAACGCACTGAAAAAGAGACAAGAAGTATGCCAAAAGGTTCTTTGTAATACGTCTGAACGGTGATGACATGGGTGATTCATTTATACCTTTGTATATTTCATTTACACATTTTCTATAATGAGCATCTATTAGCTTTGCAAGGAAAAAAAGGTGAAAAAAGGCAAAAACAAAGTATGAACAATCTTCCATCTCTTTTGCCTGCTCCCTGAGAATTTTGACCTGAGACAGGAGTACATTACAACATCCTTGCTAAGACTCCTTACAAACCAAGTCTTAATTGAAAAACAAGTTTTATAAATCACAAAAATGTTTGTGCTTATAAAAAAGGGGGAAGATCTCATGTATTGAAGAGTGGATTGACTCTTGGGGAAACTGAAAATTATGATTGAAAGATACTTGAACTACCAGAAGCACCTATGAAGTTTAAGTTAATTAAACATACAATCTAGTTTTACCTTCACTCAGATCCAGACACAATGGCTGCCTTGCATTCTTCAGACACATCAAGAAACTTTACCTTTTGTTTTTTTCCTCAGATATTTACATGGTATTCCCTTGCTTCAAATTTGGTCAAAGTTTCCCTCCTCAAAGTTTCCCTTTCCATCGTATCCAAAGTAGTACCTCATCCCTCTTTCCTTTACCCATTTGTTTTTAGCACTTGCTTGTCATAGCTAACATTATATTATGCATTGTGCTTCTTTTGTCTCCCTCATTAAAATGTAAGTTTCACCAAAGGCAGGTACTTTTTTGTTCACCTCTGTATTTCCAGTGCTGAAGACAATGCCTAATCTTAGGCATTTAGTAAATAATTGTCAGGTATATGATTAAATATACTGAATGCCTGTGCTAGGGATGCAGCATTGCAAAGAACAAAGGTGGATTAAAAAAACGTAAATTATTTCAGAATTGTGTAGAAAATCAGGTGTTGCTGTGATAGCACGGAAGGGAGGGAACGATTCGGAACTTCACAGAGTAAATATTTTTAAACCATTCTGAAGGATGAACTGGAGATCATCCCTTAAAACTAATGAAATTAAGAAGATTTCAGGTGAGCATGTGTGCAAAGACATAGAGGCTATCTATCTTAAACCGGTTTTCTCTCTCTCTTTTTTTAAGCCATTTAAAGTTTTGGCAACTGAAACTATAAGTCACAAGGCATTAGATGCAGATATATACAGTGCAATTCCAACAGAAAAAGTGGATGGAACATGTTGTTATGTTACTACCTATAAAGGTAAACTAAAACTATAATATTTACTACAAATATTACTTATTTTTTCTTAATCACTTTACAGTCTATCTGAAATGAGGCATTGCTCTTCATAGACCCTGGGAAACCTAAGTATAATAGCAAAACAAAAGGGTCACAGTTGTTATAATTTACTTGTTATATTATTGTATTTTCTTCTTGGGGGAAAAAGGAAGGTAACTAAAACATGTACTTAATACCCTTAAGGGCCCAGGCAGTATGGTGCTTGATATATATTATCTCCAATTTGTACAAGTAGCCTCTCCATTTCACAGACAAGAAAAATGAGGTTTAGCAAACTTAAATAATTTGTCCGAGACCCAATAGTAACTGAATGGCTGAACTGGCAGTGGGACCTATGTTTGTGTGACCCTTAAGCTTATTCTTCCTGCACCGATTCCAGGGCTTTATTCCTCTTGGCAGTGTCTCTAATTTCACTTTAATGTAGTTTAAAAGGTAGAAATGCAAATAGAAATTGTCAGTCATTTTAAGAAGACATGTATGGAAAAGAGATTTTTTTTTGCGATTATTTTTGGATGGTGAGATTACCTGTCACTTCCAGAAAAAAAATAGCATCTGGACACATTCCTGGGGCATTAAATGGACATCTGGACACATTCCTTGTATCAGGAAATTTATTCTGAAATGCAGTAAAATAACTGGGCTAAAGCATACATAATATTTGCCATCTTAACAATTTTTAAGTATGCAGTTCAGTGGCATTAAGTATATTTACATTATTTTGCTACTATCACCACCCTCCATCTCAAGAACTGTTTTCATCTTATAAAACTGAAATGCTACCCATGAAACAACAACTCCTTATTCTCCCACCACCAGCCCCTTGTAACCAGCATTCTACTGTCTCTATGAATTTGACTACTCTAGGTATTTCATATAAGTAGAATCACAGTGTTTATTTTTTGTGACTGGCTTATTTCACTTAGCATAATGTCCTTAAGGTTCATGCATGTTGGTTGCATGTATCAAAATTTTACTCATTTTTAAAGCTGAGTAATATTCCTTTGCACGTATCTAGCACATCTTGTTTATCCAGTCAACCATTGGTGGACAGTTGGGTTGCTTTCATCTTTTGACTATTGTTAACTAATGCCACTGTAAACAGGTATGAACAGATATCTGAGGCTGTGCTTCCAGTTCTTTGGGGGAATTACCGGATGATATGGAGATTCTAACTTTATAGTGCACAAAGGTTCCAGTTTTTCAGGTTCCTCACCAGCACTTATTTTCTGCTTTTTTCTGTTTGGATTTTTGTTTTTGGATAGTAGCCATTCTAGTGGATGTAAATGAATTGCATTTTTTATGTTTACTGGTAAAAAAGAAACCAAAAGGTCCATTGAACCAGAAATGCTAATACAGTTTTAATCTGGTTCTTCGTATTATTTATCTAGATAGCTAATAAGTAGTACAGAATATCTGGACCAACGTATAGCAGTTTCTTTATAAACCTTGGATTTATATATTTGAGAAAACTAAAAGATTTTTCAGACTTTGATGCCTGTTAAGAAACTATAGTGTGTATCATTATGCATGAGGATGGCAAACTGGATTAGAATTTAACTGCTAAAGTCAAGTCACAGAACCCAAAGTGACAGTGCTTACAAATCCACATTTATTACTGCTAAAGGATACACAATATACCAATGGCATTAAAAGTAAAGATGTGTATTATAGCCAAGGACTGTCTCACAGCAAGGAGTATGGAGAGGCCAAGTAAAAGCTACTATTGTTCCCGGCTTTAGAGCCTTGGCAGGACGCATTTTCTCAGATCAGGAACCACTCATGTGTGCAGGCAAACACCTTGGAACCACTGAATGCAAAATGGAGTCACAGCTGGGGATTTTTATATTTTTGCTGGTCACATAGGTTGGCATCTTGCTGCTAAGTAACCAGCTTCAACAGCAGAGCCGTCCGGGGTTTCAGACCAAGCTATCAGGCTCACTCCTACCAATAAAGAATACTAGCACAGTGCCCTGCAACTCTCAGATCCATGAGTACAAATCAACATTATTAGTATTTTCATGCCTTGATCAGGGGTCAGTGCCATGCAGAACAGCTCAGCCTAATTCCAGATGTGTCAGAATTAACCCTTACAGCACAGTGTTATGTTTGGGGGTGTGGGGTGAATACAGTTACCTGGTTATGTTTCCATTTTGTAGAGGTATCTTCAGTTGTCCATAAATGCTGCTTACTCATAAAATATGACTACGTAGTATCCTTATAAAAAAGATAATATATTTACTTTTTGTCTCATCCCCTTCATTTTTTAACCAGAGAAGTAAGTCTTCTCATAACATCAGGTACTGCTAGGTGGTCTATATTCTTAGACTGCATATTTCCCTTTGTCTTCTTTGAGAAATTAGCCTCCTGTTCATTGAAAAACTCTATTCTGAAATGTCTTTCAAGATAAGTTTTGTTTGCTTCATACTTTTCCTTTTGTTACTACTTTTTTAGATCAGCCATACCTTTGGGCTCGACTAGATAGAAAACCCAACAAACAAGCTGAAAAAAGATTTAAAAATTTTCTACATTCAAAAGAAAACCCAAAAGGTTAGTTTTTTTTTTTTTAAGTTTTCATGTTTAAATAGCTGAAATTTGTGGCATATTTATTGCTGTGGTATTTCTGTACATTATATCCTTCTGTATAATTTAAGCAACTCAGGAAAACTATAATTTAATACTTTTATATATAAAAGGATATTATTGAAAAATATTGTAAAATATTTTCCTAATATTTGTCACTATTCTTTATAGTATGAGTCTATTAAAACATACAGATTACTGCATAGATATTGAAATGAGTGACACATTTTGTGTAAGAGACAAATGTGTAATTTTATAAATCAGGTACAAATCTCAGGAAATTAATAATTTTAATTATTAAAATGCTTTTAAATATCTGTAGTAGATACACATTGTATATCTGCATTCATGTATATATGTTTATATTTGTATTCACAGTATATTAAAAATTCATAATCTAATACTTAACGGAATATGGTTACTTTAGTTCGACTGTTAAATACTATATACAAATGGCATATATGAAATTGAATATTTAAATTGTTAGTACCCTAATCTTAAGTACAGTCACATTGTGGTGATAATGAATGGAGAATAATTGTATCACACCTGATACTATGAGGTTTTAGTAGCTGTTCCCATTTTGAGTCTGTTTAGTATTTTACATTTTTTAAGTATCACCCCATACAATATTATCTCTTTTTAATTTTTTTTAGAATTTTTTTGGAACGTTGAGGAGGACTTCAAACCAGCTCCAGAGTGCTGGATACCAGCAAAGGAAATAGAACAAATAAATGGGAACCCAGTGCCTGATGAAAATGGACACATTCCTGGTACTATGATATCTCTTCTAATGCAGTTTTGTGTTTACTAGTAAAATGATCAAAATATCCATTCAATCAGAAATTACAGAATTTAATTTTAATCTGGTTCTTCATTAATATGTATAGTACAGAATTTCTGAATCAAATTTATGTAAAGTCCTACATTTTATATCAAAGATGTTTCATATTAAGAACGTCCTCTTAGGTTTAGAGTCTTTTCTAAGATGGATATTTTTTACTAGCTGTAGTCTGTGACAATAAAGCGTCAAAAGAGAATAGCCTTGAGGCCAGGTGCAGTGACTCACACCTGTAATCCCAGCACTTTGGGAGGCTGAGGTGGGTGGATGCTTGAGCCTAGGAGTTTTAAGACCAACCTGGGCAACATGGCAAAACCCTGTCTCTACAAAAAATACAAAAAGTTAGCTGGGCATGGCAGTGTGCGCCTGTAGTCCAGCTACTCGGGAAACTAATGTGGGAATCACCAAAGCCCCGGAAGTCGAGGCTGCAGTGAACTGTGATCGTGCACTCTAGCCTGAGTGTCGGACTGTGACCTTTTCTCAAAAAAAGAGGGAATAGCTTCCAAGTTCTTGTCAGGATAGATGAGATGATCTAGTCTGAAATGAGATTTCAAGAAGTCTATACCTTTAGATTAGGGATGGGAAAATTTTGCAACGGTATGCTGAATAGGAAAATATCCCAGATTAAGGTTATAGATTCTCAGCTGTCATGTCTTGAGTGCCCATTATGTGCAAAGTCTTCCTAGTTTCTGGTAATACAAAAATGAAGGTCAGAACCATTGTCCTCCATGATCTTTAATTAGACATTGGGAGAAATCAACCAATAATAGTATGATTTAAGAACAGGAATGAATATATCAGGTACCACTGGAGAAAAGAAGAGGAATTCCTCATTCAGCTTGTGGTTAGTGGAGGCTTCCGAGAGGAGTAGACATCTGTACTGAAGCTTAAGGACTAGGAAGTCAGCTGACGAGGAAGAGGGAAGATCAGCGTAGGCCAACTTCCAGGAAGAGGAGAGGGCATGGGGTATTTCGGATATTTTATATAACACTTTATTGCAGCTAGAATGTTTAGGGTATATGACATGAAGTGGCTGTAAAAGTTGAGGCTGGAAGTGTGGTGGGCTCAGATCGTAAAGCCCGTTTTATTCTATCTAAAGGAGTGTGAAGTGTATCCTGAAGATAATGATTTTTAATCAGTGGTACAGCAAAAGCATATTTAAGTTTTAGAAATAGAACTATGATAAAAGTGGGTTGGATTTCACTGGAGGCTTGGTGACTAGCAAGTAAGTTATTACAGTCATCTAGCATGAGTAATGAAGGGAGCCAATTCTGGCAACAAGAATGAGAAGGGTAATAGCAATAATATTCAATAAATGTGTTCAGTATATATTGGAACATTTTAATAAACTTGGAACACATACAGCATTATGTCCATTGTCCCTGAAGCTTGAGAGAAAACTTGTTTTATAGAAAAAAATGTAAGTGCTATATCTTAGAATAGTGCTGAGTTCTTACTGAATAAGGGTGAATTTTCTAGTAAGAGAATGCTAGGTGCTCTGTAGTGAATAACAGGTTAATTCTGCAGAATAAAAAAAATGAACCCTTATGATTTTTTAAAAAGTAATGAACTGTTAATTTTCCCACTGAGTTTTTAAAGTAATACCTCTTTGTGATAGACACCCAGAAAACATGGGAAATTTACAACAAAAATAGAAATTACCTGTAGTTTCAATCCAAAGAAAAACAATCTAATAACAAGTAATTTTCTTCTTTATATGATAGGTTGGGTACCAGTGGAGAAAAACAACAAACAGTATTGCTGGCATTCCTCTGTAGTTAATTATGAATTTGAAATTGCCCTGGTACTAAAACATCATCCTGATGATTCTGGACTTTTGGAAATTAGTGCAGTGCCACTTTCAGATCTCTTAGAACAAACACTGGAGCTCATAGGAACAAATATCAATGGAAACCCATATGGTGAGTGAAGCCTTTTTCTTGTTCAGTTATTGTAACTGTCATTTATAAAGAGAACTTTCTCGGGTCAACTTAAAAAACATACATACAACACTAAAGAAATGACTAACAAATTTGAGTTAGTTTCCTAGGATTATATCCATTTCTGTTAACTTTATATTCACAGAAAAAGGAAACCATTTTATTAATCCAAAAGGTTGATTTTTATCCTCATTCTTTCCTGTAATAACATTACACAATTATGTATGAAAAGTAATGACTCATTTGTAACCCCTTTGCTTTTTAAAATTCAGGTGAGTTGAGTCAAATGATGAAAATGCACTTTTCGTGGTTATTATAGCATCAATTTAAATAGCCAAGGGTATAAAGTAAAGAATTGGCAATGAATACCATGTCAAATATCAAAATATGTATCATGATGAATTGAGTGCAAGTACTGAGAGCACTATGGGTTACACCTTGCTGACATGGGGATGGCAAGACAGACCTAAGGATGCTAAAGCTATAATAAGAAAATCCTATATAGAGATCAAAAGTAGACTGCCAGGTGTAAAGAAGCTAAGACGGTAGTTAGACAAGTTATCAGAGATACAGTGCAGCTGTTTGGCAAACGTTGAAGAATAGTTGAATGTGGCCAGTGCCACATTGGTACCAAAGGTTGGTAGACTTTTTCTGCAAAATGCCAGAGTAGGTATTTTAAGTTTTGTGGGCCACTCTTCTGAAAGGAGCTATGGACAGTACTTACATGAGTGGGTGCGGCTGTGTTCGTGGAAAACTATTTACAAAAAACGGTATCTGTCTAGACTTGGCCTACAGGTCATAGTTTGTTGAACTGTGGTGGAGAGTACGCTAAGGTGGAATTTAGAGTTACTGGAATAAGGTGCCAGTGCACTGGGTTGTATTCTTTTTAAGGAAACCAACCAGCTTTTCTACCTTTATTCCTAAGTGTTTCAAAAGACTATTTGAAGAGGTACATTTTCTAGTTCTTTCTGCAAGTTCCTTTAAATGAATGTGGCTAATGGCAAATTTTCCCACCTAGGGCTAGGGAGCAAGAAACATCCATTACATCTTCTTATACCACATGGAGCATTTCAAGTAAGAAATCTACCTTCATTGAAGCACAATGATCTCTTGTCCTGGTTTGAAGGTTGCAAAGAGGGTAAAATTGAAGGAATAGTATGGCATTGCAGTGATGGCTGTTTAATAAAGGTAATGGCAAAAATAGCTTGGGTGGAGTTATGTCATCTTATATTCCTACAGCAGAGTAGAAGTGATACTAAAATTCTCTCTACAAATGGCAGCAATTATTATTTGCAGTAAAGAAATTCAATTTTCTCATCCCACATACCACCATTTTTTAAGAGGTAAAACAGTGTTTCCCGGTGTGTATTGTGTGGGGCATTGATCATAACAGGTGTGCTTCAGAATTGAAGTGATACTATATATCCCCTGCGTGGAAATTCATGTTGCATAGTAGTGCTCTCTGAGACATCTTGTACTAACTTAACACAGCATCTCCCAGACTTGAGTATAGAATCTGTTGAGTAGAAAGAGTGCCAAGATAACAGTTGATATATACAAAATGAATTATCTTATACTTTGTTCCCTTTCTGTCTCCTAGACTTGTCTATTTGATTTCTGACAGGTACCTGAAATTCATAATATTCAAAACTGGACCTAGTTGTAACTCTCTGACTCCACATAATTCACTGAAGTAAAAACTTGGATATTAATTTTAATCCCTCTTTTCATTACTTCATGCATCCAGTTATCAGTTCCTAACAGTTCTAATCTATGTACTTCTTTCCAACCAATTAACTGTTAATTTTAATTTAAGCTAAGATTCATGCTCTATCATATCTCCCTCCAAAAACAGTATCTTTCAGTTTTAGTCCTGTCCTCTCCATTCTTCACAAACAGATGAGTGTATTACTTTCCTGCATCAATCTGTTCAGTTACATTAAATATTCATGATCTGGCCCCTGCTTAATTTCCCAGAACTGCTGTCCACCTCTGCCCCCACAAACACACTCACATTGGGTTTGCATATTTACATGATTGCATGTAACCATATTTACATGATTGCAATTAGAGCAAAAAAACTCCGTTCTACCACATAACATTCCCTTCAATTAGAATGCCTCCTTGCCCACATTTTTCAGGTAGCTAGTCTGTACTCAGCAACAGACTCTATGATTCATAAAATTTTATGGAGCCCCTGATTATATTCCTGGCATGTTTCCAGGTGCTGGACATACACAGTCAACAAAACAAGGTGTCTGCCTTCATGAAGCTCACATTCTAATGGGGAAGATAAACAATAAACAAATATGTAATATGTCAGGAGAAGAAGAGCTATGAAAAAAAAAAAAAAAACTAGGGTAAGATAAAGTGGAGTCTTACACAGTGCCTGGCAGATAGTAGGCACTCAAAACAAATATTTCTAAGTAAATGAAGATAGTATCTGTATGCTAACGCTAATATCTTTTTTCTCTTTCAGGTCCATCGCCATCATCTTGGCTTATGCTGGCCAATTCCAGATACTTACATGAATTCAAAACCAGTTATTATCAACATGAACCTGAACAAATGTGACTCTACCTTCGATATTAGGTGTTTGTTTAATCATTTTTCAAAAATAGATAATCAGAAATTTGCTAGACTCAAAGATATAATATTTGATGTATAAAATGCAAATAAAATTAGTTTATCATTATATTCTAATCTTGAATATTCTACCCTGTTTAAAAACATCTCGAGGTTCCTATTCATTATGAAACATCAATATGTCTTCTACCATTTGTGAAGAAATGAATTTTCCAGTTTCAAGTACCTATTCAAATTTTTATTAAAAACCAGCAAATTAATTTTAATCTCTAGCCATAAAAACATAAGTAACAGTAAGCTCCTACGCTTGTACAAAGGCTGGATTTTCTCCACTATACTGAGTAGTAATTTAAAAACAACAATTTAATGTCACTAATTTTCAAAATTAAATAGTTTAAGCTCAATTTAATTTTGCTAGATATTTAACAAAACATATGGCTTAACCTCATAACTTATATGTGTGTATGTCTACATCTGTATTTATATATATCATAGTTAGGATTTGAGAATCTTAACACATGTATAAATAAGTATAAACTCCAATTTTAAATATTGAAATTACTGAATTTACCCTCATATTCTTTAAAAAACCTAATCAAAATATTATGAATGTAGAGAAATTCACCAAAGCTCATTGTCTATTTGATGGCCATAACAAGTCTTTAAATATATACTTTTATAATAAGTTAAAAATTTCATATAATTTTATTTATTAAGAATTCCAATCTAAGTATAAAGGTACAATGTAGTGAGAAGGAAATACTACAGTTCAGAGAATTGCTTATTTCCAGGTATATTTTAACTTATAAAGTTAATAAATAGTTAAATGAAACAAAGTTTATAGGTGACCTTTAGTAAATGGGGAAATTAACAGGACTTTCTTCTTCTTCAAACTCTTCAGAAGCAGCAACAGGGCTAGTTAACTCAACTCCCAATTGTTCTGAAAGTTTTTTTACCTTCTCTTCTAAGAGAATATTCTTCTTCACTTCTTCCTTGTAATTATACTTAAGATCTTCAATTTCTTCAAAAAATGAAGGATCAAAATTTTCCAGTTCTTTTTTCAGCTTTTTTATTTCCTCCTAATAGAAACATTATCTTTAAAAGTTGGATATAGGAAATGTACATATTTTAGGTTTGAACTGTGAGATTTAATTGTAAATATGAAAGCCAAAGTATTCCTGAATGGTCGAATACAGCAATAAAGGCAGAAGAATTACGATTTTTCTTTGTTCCATTGTACAGTGTACATAACTAAGTTGTTAACTGTCAAGTCCAATGATCTATTCCATAAGTTGTGTTCTGATCTTTGACTAAAATTTATCATTTCTTATAGTGGGATTTAATCTTTCTCTAAAAACATACAAGATCCTCTCAATAGAGTAATCAATCAAAATTAGATTTTGCAATTCATAACATTGAAGTTAGTCTGGTTAAGTGTTTTGGTTTAGACTTCATTTATATTTTACTTACAGATTCTAATTTTTAATGAATAATCAAGTTTTCATAAAGTTATTAATATCAGGGAAACCTTTGGGACGTCTGACAATTAGGCATTGGTGAAGAGACAATTCAAGCCTTAGTGACTATTTAGAATAGCCAGTGATTACTAGCTGATTCTCATATCCATGCCTTTTTGTCCTGTTTACAGTCTTAAAAGAGGTAAAACATAGCAAATATTTTTTTAAGGGAACTATAACCTTAGGAGTCCTGAAAATAATTTCAAAAAAACCTAAAAACACTGTTGCCAATGTGACCCAAAACTTAAGAACATACTAATGGCATATATTTGTTACAATTAAAAAATAAATTTACTATTTAATCCTATGTTGAGTCTGAATTTTTTGTTAGCTCTTATTTAATAAATATATTAGGACTAGTCAGATGAACATAATTAACTTTGCAATATAAAGGTCAAATATAAGATGCTATTACATGAATTTTTTAGGATACGTACTGAAAACTCGAAGATGGTAATGAAAATAGTTTTCAACAGCTATTTTCACAAAATGATACTAAAATACACATTACCTTCAAATGCTGCTTTTCTAGATCTGACATTTTGAGCTGTGTCTCTAGATCTTTTACTTTTTCCTTTAGTTGATCAGCATCTGTCAAAAAAGTTATACAAGTTAAACTCAGCTTTTTCCCACTACGAATGAGTTCAAAGTAATGGATTTGTTCTAGAGAACAGAGATTTGTTTTACGAAACCTAGAACTAGGAAAATACTGGATTTTATGGCTGAAATACTTAAGGATGTAAACACTTGATGCTACCTCCCTCCATTAAGTATTGTAATTTCATAGCAGGCAAAAAGAGGTTATTTGCTAGGTATTAGAAATATAGGCCAAGTTTTTTTTGGTTTTTTTTTCACATGATAGAAATTTTACACAGAAAAAAATCTTAAAGCCAGGAAAACTTGTTAGGTACTAAAAGTACAACAGAAGAAAAGCAGACTGTTGGGTAAGGGGCTATAACCATAAGCTGGCCAAATGCTCCCGCTATCCAACACAGCATTAGCTATTCCACGTGGGTTATTACATGTTTACTGCGCAATTACTACGTGCAAAATGTGTCATGCAAGCTGTGTAATACAAAAATAAGACATAGATAGCCCTGATACTTTGGTAGGAAAACAAAAGTCTACAAATACAGCACAAAAGTTATTTATTGGATTTACCCTGCAAGTTAACATACCTCTAACTTTATCAGGAGGCAAATACGATTTTTGCTTTAATGCTATCTTTGCTAGATACCTCTTTTCTTTACATTACACTACATTTAATGAGTCAAGTCATATTTTACAGCCATCGAAGAATAAAATTCTAAAAGTTTGATAAGGGGCAGCAAACATTTTCATGGCTGGGACAAGTATCTTTTTTTCTTTTTGAGACAGTCTCACTCTGTCGCCCAGGCTAGAGTGTAATGGTGCAATCTTGGCTCACTGCAACAATCACTGCCTCCCAGGCTAAAGTGATTCTCCTGCGTTAGCCTCCTTTGTAGCTGGGATTACAGGCAAGCACCACCACGCCTGGCTAATTTTTATATTTTTAGTAGAGACAGGTTTCACCATGTTGGCCAGAGTGGTCTCGAACTCCTGATCTCAGGTGATCCGGCCGCTTCAGCCTCCCAAAGTGCTGGGATTACAGGTGTGTGCTACTGTGCTGGGCCTGGGACAAGTATCTTAAAAGTTATCTTACCACTTATATAGAAAGTGATTTAGAATTTCCAAAACAGTTCTGGTTTGATTTTAAGCCTTAATCTTAGAAAAATGACAGGTAATCTGTCTAATTCACATCAGAGATAAGGAATTTTGAAGGCTCAGAAATTTCCTGAAGAAACAGGTTTAGAAAGATAGAGAACTATGGCCATATGACCCTTAATGCACACGCACCTGATCTCTGATCTCAGAAGCTAAGCACTATTGGGCCTGGTTAGTATATGGATGGAAGGAAAATTATAAAATTTTCCTAACATCAACAGCATTAATACTGTAGTCTAGTACAAACCAAGCAGGCTGCTATAAGGCATATTTTGAGAGTATTTAGTAGGTACTTCTAGTTACCAAGACGTAGCACAGTATAGTGGTTAAGGGCTAGGAATGCCAAGGAGCTGTGGAGTTTCATAGATTTAGATTTTAATCCTGCTATTTCCTAGCTGACCTTGGGGAATGGTTACTTAACCACTTTGAATCTGTTTATCACATAAAATGGAGACAGTAATACCTATCATATATGGGTGTAAATATAGAATGCTTGTAAGGCAGTTAGCATAGTGTCAAGTACAACTCACACATGATGACTTTTATTACAAATTAGTAATAGGACTACATACCATATTGAAAAAGCTACAAGAAATAGTCAAAGATAGTTCAGATATAAATTGGTATAATCCTTTGGAGAGGATGGCATTTCTATCATACTATCAAACAATGGCATAATAAGGTCAAGAGATTAATCATATTTTATAAAAGCAGAAACTTGGAAGCAAACTATCCACCAAAACATAAATGGTTCAATATGCTTATACATGCAATAAAACACTATAGAATTATTAAATGGATGAGACAGATTTATGAACAGACCTCACAAGATGTCCAGGATAAACTGTTAAAGGCAAATACGCTAGACATGTGTATAGTATGAGTTCAATTTTATGTCACTTACCAAGAAAATATATATATATGTATATGCAAACAAAGTCTATTCTCTATCCACAGTAGTTTTAGTCTATAAAGTTAGCCCAATTAGTGAATATCAAACCACTGCTGCTAGGGGAAATATGTACAGACATGCATATACATACATACACCTACATATCTCACACATGATAATCTTAAATCCTAAAGATAACTCATCCTGGTAAATTCTATTTATTTACATAAGAAAAGGTTCAGAAGCGTTTGTGACTCTCCTAAGCCTAAAGCACTAACAAGCCTCAGAATTGGGATTCAAATCCCTTCCAACAGGCCCCAGAGCCACAGCTTCTTGCACTATGCTGTGCTGCCCTCTACCGTCTCCATCCTTTGCTCATTTCTCTATGAAAACTGAAATGAGGATACTGAGCACCGCCTTGTTGAACCTCTGCTGGGGACATGTAGGTTGGATTATTCAAACTTTCCAAGGCTCTGTGGATGTCTGCAAATGTGCTGCGAGTGTTGATTTGGGGATTACATACACGCTTTAGTGAGCAGGTGATTTAGAAAATACAGAATCCACAAATAATGAGGATCTATTATACATATGAACACAGAAACACATGTATGCATATGTGTGATATATATGTATATAAAATATGTGTGTATGTATATGTAGGAATGAGGAATGATTAGTAATCACTTTTGAATGGGAATGGAAGGCAGCAGAAACATACTTTCTTTTTACTTTGTAAAAGGAAAAAAATATAGGCAGTATTTACTTATTTGCAGTTTTTAAAAATGTTCAGAGGACTTGAAAGAGCCTATACTTAGAAACTGGAAGCAACAGATTTCGTATTCATTGCTTAGCCCTGCATTGTGATTAAATCTGTAACACCCAGATGGAGAACAAAGAGAAAAACACTTGGGTACTTGCTACTCTATAGTATAAACAACACAAAGAGAAAAATGGGAATATTTTTATATTAATAGCATGGAGGAGAGACAAGAGATCCAAAACTTATTAGGAATTTGATTTTACACTGAGACAATGATCAGAAATCTGAGCCAAAAGAAAAAAAAAAAAAGGTAAACCCAAATTCAAAAACCTGGGGGTAGCTAACATGTTTTTTAAAATATATTACCAGGTATGGTGCTTTCAGCTCCACTTTGGTCCTTGTTAGCTTCTATCTGATGGATTAATTCTGCTTTCTCTTTATCCAGCTGACTATTAGCTAATCTAGAACACAATGATAATGTGTTAAAGAAAAATAAGGCAGGTATTGCTTCATAAAATATATGGGCATTTCTTATGAACTAGTGATGTACAGTAATCAGAACAAACTAGTCTTTATCAAAGTAAACATTTACTCTCAATGCTACAATGTCACCATTCTCAAACAAAAAGCCTGGAATACAAAAGCCTTCACATTTTTCTTAATATCTGACCTAAGGTCATTTCCAAGAGTGGTTTTGTTATGAGGAGCCTAATGAAAGTGGGCTACAGAGACTCCTGAAAGTAAAAAATTACTTGTTCTCTTTCATTAGTATTTTCCTCTGGGAAGCTAAGGATTAATTCATTCTATGCTCTTAGAAAAGTTTAAACTAAATTACAAACTGGAAACTTATATTACAGTTGGGTTTATCCTTTTTTCCAGTGTGTATTATGAAAAAGAGAGTGATTAGCATTAGAAGGAAGAAATAGGGACCTAATAAGCCTGTTAGGCAGTAAAGTTGAAAAATGTTGTCTCTAGTTGTAGCAATTCTGAGATTATAAAAACTAATAATTTTTTTTTTAAAAGAAAGAAACAAAGTAGTCATATGAACACATGACGCACCTAAGAACTTGAAGCTCCTGTTTGAGGCCTTGCTCTGTCTCAGCACCTTCAGGAACATGTTTAAGAATCTTAATCTTTGGGGACAATGAAAAGTTAAGATAAGGTTTCCTATGGAAATACGAGGATTTATAAAGATACACATTTTTAACAAGCATAATATTAAAATCTGGTTTTCAAAAGCATGCATAGGCAAATTTCTATGTTCTATTCACCATTCATTCAACAAGTATTGAGTAACTACTGCATAACTGGCATTGTCCTAGGCACAGAGGCTACAGCAGTGAACAAAATAGGTAATGTTCCATCTTGCATGGTCCTCATTTAGTGTGGAAACAAAGAATGTGTATGTAATATGATATGATGTAATAATAGTGCCAGATGGTAGGAAGAGCTATCAAGAAAAAATAATCCAGGGTAAGAGGATCAAGAGTGATGGCAAGTAGTATAGGGTTAGGGTTAGGGTTAGGGTTAGTAAGGTCTCTCTGAGGAGCCTCCATTTCAGCAGAGACATGAAGTCTGGGAGCAAGCTATGAGAATATTTGGGTGAACAGTATTCTAAACAAAGGAAACAAGTGTAAGGACTTAACGCTTAAACGAGTTTGAATTGTTTAAAGTACTGAAAGAAGGTTAATGTGGTTAAAATATTGTGAATGAAATGAAGGGAAAAGTGGTAGAAGATGAGATTGGGAAGAAAACTGGGTACCAGACCTCATATATTGTTTTGGGATACGAAAAGTATTTTGAAGTTTTATTTTAGGGTGATGGAGAACCACTGGAAGATTCTGAGGATAGGACTTTGTGCTTTGTGATGTGCTTTATGTTTTAAAAGGGTTACCTGGCAACTGTGTGGAGACAGATCAGAAATAGAAATAGAGTGAAATAATGCAAGAGTGGAAGCTGAGATACCAGCTTGGAAATTATTGTAGTTATTCAGGTATAAAACAATAGCCTGGACAAGACTGGTAGTGATGTCTCAAGATGCCAAGAAGTGGTCAGATTTGGGATATAGTTTGAAAATAGAGCTGACATGATTTAACGATAAAAAAAAAAGATGTGGAGAATGAAAAGAATGAAGTCATTGATGAGCCAAAGTTTCTGGCTTAAGCAAATAGGTGAATGGGGTGCCCTTCAGTTAGATGGGTCTTCTTAATCGAGTCCATTTTTATCTATAGAAGACAATGCAAGGAACATCCTGCGATATTATGCATTATTTTATCATGTAAAGAAAAATTACATTACTTACCTGTTCTTCAAGGTCTTCAGTGTATTTCTTAACTTTTTGTTCTCTCTCTGTTGCTTCTTTTACAAGCTGTTTAAGGTCAGTAATGCTTTGATTTTTTTTGGCAATATCAGTTTCCAATTCTTTTAACTTGGTTTCATACATTCTAAAAGTATAAGGAAAAAAAGTATAGACATGGCAAATAATTTACGTCACTGATTTAAAAGTCAGTTCAAATTACCGTACTAGAAATAAGCAAGAATATCTTATTTTACTGTTTCGTCTAGTCAAGGTTTTTGCTACATATTTATTTACCATTAAAATGGTGGTGGCAAGAGATAAGGTATCCCTAATTAACAGATGGCCCATTCGAAATAAAGAATTTGGGTATTTTCCAAGATTATAAATAAGGATGGAGCCTGATTTGACCATTTTAAAATTAATACCTTTTTTCAATCACAAAATAAGAAAATACAAAGTAAAATTCTTTGGAATATAAAATTCTATATTACTAGATATTCTTAGAAATATAAAGATGGCAAATAAAAAGCTTTTCTCACATATACAGACACACATAGGAGGTATACAGAAAAACACTACAGGGAGAGGAAAAAATTGTGCAAAAGCATGGGTGAGAAAAATAGTATCTGATGGGAGAGGGATAAAGCTTGTAAAAATCTGAATAGATTTATAATCATTAAAGAAACAATTAACAGTTCAAAAAAATACAGACTCCAGAAAAAAAATTTCATAATTGAGCCAAACAGTTCTACTGGTTCATCATACCTAAAGAAATATAATGCTAACAATATCCAAACTTTTCCAGAGAAATGGATAGAAAGACTGCATTCTAAGTTAAAATGGCCAGTATAGCTTTGGTAACAAAATCTGCTAGGATAATACAAGAAAGGAAAATAATGATTGTCTAAACACATTCAAACAGCTTTTGATAGATCCTAGAAACTTAGATTAGAAGGGAATGTTTTTAACCCGACAGAGACTATCACAGATCTACCACAAGTAAATGGTGAAATATGAGAAGCTTACTCCTTCACTTCATCTAATTTTCTGTTCAAAAGCCACCCAAGCAGAGAGGGCCTCTCTGATCACCCTATGTAAAACTGCCCCCACATCACCCTGGTTTGTCTCAGCAGTCAGGAAAAGGCCTGACATAGAATATATGTTAATAAGTTTGTTGAATGAATAATAATGCAACTATAAGGATGTCAGCATGAGCAAGACCTGTGTCATGGGTCCCAAAAGAGATCTTTCTAAACTGCTTTATTGAGAAAGGTGTATAATCTTCCCAGATTTAAACTTTAGTGAATTTTTTTCTTTTTTTTTTTCTTTTTTAACGGATTTAGGGAACCTGGAGGTCAACGATCAAAAGGAGCCTCTCTCTGTCAAGAGATTTCTACTTAGACTTACGTCTTCTGCAAATGGTTTACTGAAGGCTTATGGTATGCTCAGTAACCTGTATTGTTCTCAGACTAAAAACATATATATGATCTAAAATGCAAAGTCATCTTCAATTATGGTTAAATATCATCATCACCTCTACTAACCATTTATAAACCTTATAAACCCTTTTTGCACTAACAATTTCTTATGTAGCCCCATAGAGCCCTCTTAGAAAGAACTTGAGCCCACAGAAAGGATATAAGTTACTTAAGATCATAGTAAGAATTAGGTCTTTCTAAACCAGAGAACCTACCCGGTCCTTTGAAGAAACCTAGGCAAGGTGGGCTTTTTAAAAATAATATCCAACATAAAGCAGAGTCTGGCAATAGGAGGTACTAAGTAAATATCTGTTGAATAAATAGATTTCAGAGTAACTCAAAAACATTCTGAGTCCATATGTGATTATAGAAGAAAACAAAGGAACGACCAAGAAATCAACAGAGAGGGCTGCTGGCTAAGAGCCACCCTGCTAGGGTCCAAGAAGACAGTAGAAGAGACCCCCTTCCCCCACTCCATACCATCACATTTGTTATTTCATCTAACCCTGACACTGGCCTTCTTACAGAGTAATTTTTCCCAGTGTGTAGATGAGAAAAGTGAGAGCTAGAGTGGAGAAGTGTAGATTCTGGCCACTCTAGATTTAGTATTCGGACAGGAACCAAGTACTTCTCCATGACTTCATGGCCATCTGGGCTATCCTTTAAAGCGCCTGCTTAATCTTTCTCTTTTCTCCTTAGACTTGGTTGACAGGGGCAAGTGCAGTGCAGCAAGCCCTCTGTGGGACTTGCTGTAGCCTCACAATGCTAAGACTCCCATCCTACTTGTAGTGATCACTATCTTGCCTTCCATCAAGACCATTCCAAAGAGCAGAGAGGGAAGATGAAGCCCTCAAAGACATCGAAGGGGATACTGGAGGTGCATGGACATAAGGAATTGTATGAGAATGTTGAGAGATAAAGATGAGTATGCCTTTTGAAATGGGGGTGGCAGATGTGCTAGATGGCAAAGGATACCACTTCATACAGGATGGCTTTAATGGGACAAGACATGGGCAGGATCCCACTGGCCAATGACATCCAGGCTCCTTGAAGCAGCTGCTTAAAATTGGAAATGAGAACGACATGAAGAGCCTTTTACCTACTCATCACAGTCATGATGAACCACACATGATGATAGTGGCAACAGACTGAATGTTTACTCATAAACTCCCACCACCTCTTTCATAGCCACAAAAATTAGTTTCACAGGTTGGAATTCCATGTATTCAGGATGGGAGAAAATAAACTATCAGAAAGCAGAAGCCAGTAAGACATCAACGCTGCTGCTGAATTCACCTCTTGGGGCTATCTGAAGAGAAAGTTGCCCAGGATATAACTCTAAAAGCATTACAGCACAGACTAGATCCAGTATGCCACATGTTGTGACAAGACAGCTCAATCATTCCTGGCTCATACTTGAGAGAGCAAGTTATACAATCAAGAAACCGAAGCTGCAGTTGGAGAAAAATAGCACCCAGGGGAAGCTGAGCAGCCTTAGCCTAGATTCATAGCTGATGACAGCTTCATGATGCACACACAGCTCCAACTCCTTCGCCCAGCCACAGCTCTACTCTGTTCCATGCCCTGCCACCCAAACAAGGTTAAACAAGTTAAACATTTCAAGGAAGAAAAAGTCTCCATCAATATTACAAGAGAAAAAAAAGTATTATGTTAAAACAACAACCAAACAAACTGTTCATCAGGAAGAAACCAGGTTATTCAGAATAGTGTTGTCTTTTAAAACAATAATACCAAAATTTGAAATGATTAAACTCTGTACAAGTTTAAAATTCTGTTCCTACCTTGTAACCACAATGGATTTCCAGCTCTTACTGTCAGCACCTTCAAGCTGTGGACCTCTGCTTTCTGCAAACTGCAATCTCTTACCAGTCTCTTCTAGTTGAACTGTCATCTTCTCATTTAATATCTCTAAATTATTCTTTGCTATCCGTAATTTCTCTGCAGCATCAGTTTCCTATCATTAAATGCTAATTAGTATTTTATGAGAAAACATAATACTGTTCTCATAGATTCAGTGTATTCAAAATTATCATTACAAATGGGAAAACAAAAATAACCTGGGGCTCTTAAATGTTGATTAAAATTTCAATAAATTCAACATTTCTCCTCCTTTAAAGCAGCAATATGGCCAATAATAATTAGAACAACAGATCATGAAAATGAGGTCAGAGAAATATATTTAGTTACTAGTGATTACCTTAAATTTGACATTTTGTTCCTCTGTAATATTTTTAGAAAAATGGGATAGTTTATACCTTTACACATGTAAAAGATTCTTTGTTTTGACTTCCTAATGCTTATGAGACCTAGCTATAAGCATAAAGTATGTGTAAGTAACGTGGATTATTTCTTTTTGTTGTTGTTGTGTTTGTTTGTTTGTTTGAGATGGAGTCTCGCTCTGTTGCCCAGGCTGTAGTGTAGTGGTGTGATCTCGACTCACTGCAACTTCTGCCTCCTGGGTTCAAGTGATTCTCCTGCCTCAGTCTCCTGAGTAGCTGGGATTACAGGCACGCCAACATGCCCAGCTAATTTCTGTATTTTTAGTAGAGACCAGGTTTCACTATATTGGTCAGGCTAGTCTCGAATTCCTGACCTTGTGATCTGCCCACCTCAGCCTCCCAAAGTGTAGATTATTTCTATTATTAAACATCCACATTCCAAGCACAGTATCATTTGGTCTCTTGATACATTCTGAGAATATTCTAACTAGTTTTAAAATATTAATTTTTAACTTCTTCACTAGACCTTCCATATAAATAACAATATCTATATATTTTGCTGAATAAACAAAATAAATCTTACTGTTTAACAAGGCAGTTTCATATACTCCTTACTATAAATTGGCCTAAGTCATGTGCACAAACATTAACTAAATTCCACAGAGCTCTGTGAGATAGATACACTTAATATTCCCAAGTTTACAGATGAAAATTTTACAGAGGAAACTGAGGAATAGAGAAGGGATAACAAGCTGGCCCTAGTTCCCATGACTAACAAATAATAGAGCTAGAAATTGAATCTAGGCTGAGTAATGTCTATATTATAGTGTCTCTAAACTTATTAACTTTTATTATCAATGTTTTTCATGGTGGAAATGTGATGACAGCAGGCATAGAAATACAATTCCTCAATCTCTTAATATCCACCTTGAATAGGCACTCTCATCAAGGATCTACTTTCAGTTTTTCCAAGAGGTATTAAGTAAAACAAAAATCAATAATTATAATCAGTCATAAAAGTCATACTTTTTTAAGTTCTTTACGAAGCCTTTCATTTTCAGCAATAATTTTTTCTGTGCCTTTGGTCTTGGATTCATAGTGCATGCTCAACTGATGCCCAAAATGAGCTTTAAGTTTTTCTAATTCAGCCTAATAAAAAACAAACAAAATAAAAACTGTACATTATCAAAACAAGGAAATAAAAGATAATCTCATAAACTCATAAATCTTACTTCAACATAGTTTTAGAAACTGTATTTGATATGATTACAATTACAGCCTTCATTTGAATATCAGAACAGAAGTTCCCAATGTTGGCTACATATTAGAATAAATTGATGACTTAAAATAATAACAACAACAAACATACCTGTGTCAGGACCCACCCTAAAATAATTAAATCAATTTCAGGGATGGGAGCTTGGGTGTCTGTGTCTGTATTTTTAAAAAGAAACACAGGTAATTAATCTATGTGTCAGAAAAGTATTGATCTTGAAATAATAAGAAAGATCAGGTGGACCTACTCTATAACCCTTAGCCTTGCCTCTCATAAGTTTTTTTCTATATGTATAAAATCTGTACTGTATTCATTAAAGCCATCTTATATACTAATGAGCATATTTGAAATTTTCCTAAATAGTAACAAATTAAAACAGTAAAATATTCCCCTAAAAATGATCACATTAAAAAATTACCTTCAATTTTTCATTTTCTTGCTCAATATTAGCCATTTTTTCACTAGTCAATATTCCTGATGCTTTTTTCAACTGTTCATTTTCTCTCTGGACTTTTTCAACTACTTTTTTCATTAAACCAATGGTTTTTTCCAGTTCTGGGATTGTCTTTCCACTTCTACCAGACTACAACAGAATATGTTAAATCTTTAATTTAATCAAATATTTTCGAGAGTATAATACAAAGTACCAACAATACAACAGGCTCATTATACTCAATATTAATAACTCCTAATATTTGAAGTCAAAACTGTGTTAATTCAATTCATCCTTAAAACACTTCTATGAGATAGGAATTATAATTTCCATTTTAAATACAAGAAAATCAAGAGTAAGGAAATTTGACACTCCTAAAATCATGCAGCTAATAAGTAACATCTTAAATAGTCTAGCCTTAATGTCTTATCAAAATGATTAAGTCTAAATATTCTATTTAGCTAATGTTCTCTCCAGTATATCAGTTTTTCTTTATACAAAATAAAACCACACAAGAGAAATTGTGTCTTTAAAGAGCTCATGAGTAATTAAATTTTAATTGCAACATAATAGAGGCAATTTTCTCTAAGAAATGCTATTGCTTAGAGATTCAATTTCTGTTTAATATAAATAGAAGAGATATCTGAAATAAAAAACCTTGCATAAATATATCAACAGAGATGAGTCATCACTTAATAAGTTTAACTGCTTATCATTTAAAATAAAAATAATTTTTAGCAGTTTAGTCACACAATATGCTTATCTTTTTTTTTGCATTTTAATCATCCACGACTAAGAATAATTCTGAAATATAAACTTTTACATCATTTCAGTATGTACTTTCATAATTAACTTAGATAGAAAAGGTCAAATTAACATATATTTTCATTGATTAAAAAAATGTTGCTGTCAGCAAGACACTGTTTTGAATTTTTTTTTTTTTTTTTTAAGATGGAGTCTTGCTCTGTCGCACAGGCTGGAGTACAGTTGTGCGACCACAGCTCACTGTAACCTCCGCCTGCCAGGTTCAAGCAATTCTCCTGCCTCAACCTCCTAAGTAGCTGGGATTACAGGCATGAGCCACCACACCCAGCTAATTTTCGTATTTTTAGTAGAGATAGGGTTTCACCATGTTGGCCAGGCTGGTCTTGAACTCCTGACTTCCAGTGATCCGCCCACCTTGGCCTCCCAAATTGCTGGGATTACAGGAGTGAGCCACTGCCCCCGGCCTATTCTGAATATTTTTCTAATAACACATAATATTTTCACTGAATCCATCATATATTTAATATTACTACCAGAATGACTCTGCATTATGATTGCTTCCATTTATGACACACAGCAACATGAAATCAACAGGAGTTTAAGTCTTTGGCCTTGACCTCATAAGCAACATTTATTCATTATATAAGGTGAATACAAAATAACATAGGGAGAAAATTACAACACAAAAAAAGAGGGGGAGGAACAAAGTACTTATAAAACATTATACCAAGAAGGTGGGAAGATATCATAACAAATGGTTACAAAATGGCAGCACTAGACCAAGGACCAGTTAGTAGTTACCTCCATAAACAAAAGGATTTCTGGAAGTTAAATGTTTTCAAGGTGTGGAGGCATATTCAATAAAAAGAGAGATGATACAGATGATAAAATACATTAATTTGAGACACATAGAAATGCTTACTGTTTTATATTACAGATGCAGAATAAAAACTGAAACTACAGGGCACTTGTAAAGGCATATCAGTACTGTTACAACATATCTAAACTTTTCATTTGTGGCTTATCACTGCTGAAACCATAACAAATGTATGGTAAATTCTCACATACCCCTCTAACATGGCCAAGTTTCCGCTCAACTTCTGCTTTTTCTTTCTTAAGAAATTCACACATTTCCTTCAAATCTCTGACCTGATTCTGAAAGATAATAAGCAAACACCTAATAATTTAACATAGCTATAGCCATTGAAAAGAAAAGGCAAACAATTCATGTGAACCATCAATCTCTTCAACTGTATAGCCAAACCAAATAATTGGGTCTCTATACTAATGAGAAAGATTTTGAACCAAATTATTAAATTAATACAAGAATACTGTGTATATGAAATGTCGAGGTATTTCCCACATTACTGCCTGATGCAATAATACAAATTTAGAATTCTGATTTTAACTGTCCCATATATTGCACATGTAGATCCTTACCCAAATACACAGAGCAAAAGGCAAATGAACATCTAACAGCGGTTCTATCAAAGTAAAAATCTGAATAAGAAGCAGTATCAAAAAAAAAAAAAGAAAAAAAAGTGTAAAAAGTTGGCAGATTAGTGCCCTGAAATAAATAAATAAATAAATAAATAAATAAATAAATAAATAAAGTGTGAGAAGCAAGACACAGCTTAACTGTATCATTATCAGTAGAATTAACAGATTGCTAACATTCTGGATTAGAAAACAGAACTGAAGTAATTAGCTAGCCAAGAGAAAAAAGATTCCCATAAATAGGGTAAGACCTGGAAAACCAAAGATTAAAAAATCATTATTAATGTCAGAATAAAGTAAAATTTCTAAAAGAAATTATTCTTATATTTTACATTGTGATAATTTTTAATGAAATATACCACGTATCTTCCCATCTTAGGACATCTGAACTTGCTATTTCTGTTGTCTGTAATTCTTTTTCTAGTATCTTTATGACCCACTTCTTTACTTCTCCTTAGCTCTCTGTTCATATATCATTTTAATAAGGAAGACCTCCCTACTACCCTATTTTTTTTTGTTGGATCAATATTCTTTTTTTAAAAAATTATTTATTTATTTATTATTATTATTATACTTTAAGTTCTA